TATATATATATATAGGGCTATATCTAGTTCTAGAGCTAGAATAAGGTTAGCATAGGATGAGTTAGGAATAGGATAGCATAGTGCAGGGTTTTTTCTGAGGGAAAATTAGACAAAGGAGGTAAAATTTTGCCAGTTTGGGAAAAACGCGCATGATGGATTCGAAGGCGTGCCGTAGGCATGCATGTGGACGCTGCAGACAGACGCCGGTGGGGGGAGGGGGGGCATGGCAATCTAAATATTCCAGAAGCACGTGGTGGTGATCTATTTATTTTTGGGTTTGACACTATTTTGATAACGGCGGGTAAATACAGGAATATTTTTCACAACGACGATGTTAAATTTGACAACGGCGGTGCACGACTCTGCCTCTTATGTATAAGAAACCCTGCAGGGTAGGATCCCAGTCCGTAATGCCAGAGTTATAGGTTTGATAGTAAAGCGAACCAGACTGCGAGTATGGACAGACCAAAACAGTTTCGATGTAAGGCTGTTCTTCACACACTGTGTGTGTGCGCACGTGTGCGTGTGTGTGTACGCTCGCGTGCGTGTGCGTGTTATATGTGTGTGTGTGTACGTGCGTTATGTGCACGTGTGCGTGCGTGCGTGTGTGCATGCACGTGCGTGTTTGCACCTAGCTTTCTACAATGTATTTTTACTCTCGAAACATTTCAATTCCATTGATTTATTGATTGTCGTGGGCTTTTCGTGACGCATAGGCAGGCAACGCGACGGATAGTAAGACACGGAAACCTGCACCGAACAAAACTGGAAGCACCTACAGTTGTCCGTGGACAACCTGGGTATCTCCGAATCCCCTCGGAACAGCATCATGGACGTCGCCGATAAACGTGAAAAGCTTGACTGACATGTGTAGGTGGTTGATGGAGAAAAGGCCTAAAATACCTGGAACACGGGTAAGATTTTTACTGCATGTGTGAAAAAGCACTTCGTTAGAGTCGTGCTATCAGTCAACTTCATTACTCTGTATTCTGAGTGTGTCCATAACAGGGGTAGAAATTAACTTTTGAACAAGGGAGTCCAACGGACTCCCTGCCTTCAAAAAGAGGGAGTCCGCAGCAGAATGAGGGAGTTCGTAGTCTTAAGTTCAAAATTAAAGATAATAATGCATGTGCTTATTTTAAAGATTCATGCGATTGTACGTCTGCCAAATTATGGCAGAATTTCCAGGGAGTCACACGGACTCCTCAATATGTCATATCAGGGAGTCCGACAGTAAATCAGGGAATATTTCACTCCGGACTCGCATTAATTTCGCACCCTGCCATAACCCTAACCTTATCCCTAACATCTACCTCTAACCACCACCTTAACCTAAACCATAACCGTAACACTAAGCTTAACCTTAAGACTCGCTTTAAACCTAAACATAACTGTAAGACTAACCCTAAACATAACCCTATAACCTTAACCCTAACGGTCACCCTAACCCTAAATCTAACACTAACCCAAACACTACCCCTGACAACCCTAACTCTAACCCTAACACCCAACCTAACCCTAAACCTAACACTATAACCCTCACCTTAACCCTAAACCTAACCTTGACCCTAAACCTAACTATAACTGTAACCCTAACCCTGACCCTAACCTCAACCCTAACCTCAACACTAACCCCAAATTCGTGAGAAAAAACTGAAATAAACAACAAAACCGGAAAAAATGCAAATAAACAAAATAGGGGGAAAAAACCGAAAATAAATAAAAACCGGAAAAAAAATTGTCATGCTAAATAATCTCGCCGTTTCCCGCAGGAGCTGGACCGGCGACTACCGATACTGCCGATCGACGTCAATGCCGTTCTTCAGCCCACAGATGGCGTTAGGGTCACTTGGATCGGCCACGCGACAAGTCTAGTCCAGTTCGACGGGATCAATCTACTAACGGATCCCGTGTTCTCGGCGAGGGCCGCTCCGACGCAGATCATGGGGCCGCTGCGTTATCGCCTGGTCTCTCCCAATCTGTACCACCTCTTGGATTTGCCCGAAATGAGTGCGTACGTGATCTCACTACAGCGTCTAGGGTTTATAGTTGATCAAAATCTGAATGATATCATAATTTAACGTCATGTGCGCATATTTTTTGTGATAATATATAATTGTGATAATAACCTGTATATTTGTAAAATAGTCGCAGTAATAACCCGCGCCAGTTATGATGCATTCTCCACGGCTAAAAGTTAATCGATTTTGGAGTGTGGTTCTTTGTCTTCATGCTGTTCTAGTGCTACTAGTGGCTCATTGGTTCAGAAATAGAAAACCTAATGTGTACTCCTTGCCTTGACGTTTTCAGAAATCCACGCTGTGTTGATAAGCCACAATCATTACGATCATTTGGATTCCAACAGCGTATTCGAATTGAATAGACGATTCCCAGAAGCCTGGTTCGTAAATATCCATATTCACTAACTTTCCTGTAGGCACATTTCCTTATTCCCTTTCCCATTACGTTATAGCCTATAACATCACAAACTCATAGTAATTTTTGCGCTGGAGTAGTCAGTATATAATAATGTCCGCTAATAGGCGAGACAAAATCTCTATCAGCGTGTGTATTTTTTCGATTTATACGGGAAACGATCGTGTTGAACACGGATCACAATGCGTGGGGAATTAGGTTGCTAGCCAAAAAGTTACGCATTTTAGCTCAACATGTGAGGTTTGCTCATTTAACAGAATGTATACCCTTATTCCCTTTCCCATTACGTTATAGCCTGTAACATCACAAACTCATAGTAATTTTCATTTCTTTTCACGCACTGGTTGTTTATCATCGATGGTGAAAGGTTGTTAAATTAATTCAATTTAAATTAATAAAGGTCTTTTTTCTCATAGGTGGTTTGTACCTGAAGGATTGGATGGCTGGTTTAAAGGATGTGGTTGCAAAAACACCAAGGAGATGACCTGGTGGGAAGAACAGGAACTACCGACGCATCCAAATATCAAGATGGCTTTCACACCTGCGCAACACTGGTGCCAACGTTACATAAAAGATGTTAATCAGGTAATTAATTAATTAATCTCTTGTTTTATTTTTTATTTCATAATGAGCTTGACACAAATGCATCGCAAGTGGCATGCAACTCCAAAAACCATGTTTATTGGCCTTTATGAAGAAAAGCGAGTGGATGTATTTTATGTAAATAAAAGTATTTTATGTCAGCATGGGTCTGTGCAAATTCCAAAAACGTGTGATAAACGTATCAAAAAATCCCAAAAATTATTAAATAAAATTCATCTTTCGTGTTAGAATCATACTCTGCATTAAGATCATATTCTTTGTCATCTGTACAAGAGATATAGTATGCAATAATTTATAATTGCAGTGTTATTGTTTATGGATCCTGCTATATTTTAGTTTTGAACTTTTATTTTGGACTCCTTCATTTTGGCAGAGAATGTAAGTAAGCGGGCCATGACTGTGTTCATGCATCAATCGTGTATGTTTTTTGGATGTTGCGTGACTAAAAAAACAACAAGATTCTCAGCGAGAGTAACCAGCTTAAGCAGAAGGTTATCCCTCGATCAAAGTTAACATTTCTAGCACATAAAAATGTTAGGATTATATGGTGAAGATGTTAGTGCCATCTTCTCGCTTTTCAGTTTTTAGCTCAGCGGACGAAGTCAGATGCAGCTTGTAGAATCGCATGAATGTCCGTGCGTGCGTCCGACCGTCCGTGCGTTCGTCAACAGTTATGGCAAAAATCTTTGTTAGAAAGTTCAGAAGATTCATCAAAGATGTTACCCAGCTTCCCCACAATACCTGCAAAACAAAAACAGACCGTGATTGGTCCAAAACACTGCTTCTTCTTTGCCGGCGATACGGGTTACTACGGTGATGTGTTTAAGACGATCGGTGAGGAGTATGGTCCGTTTGACGTCGCAACGATACCCATAGGATGTTACGAGCCCAAGTAAGCAGGCCCCGTGAGATCATAGGATCATAATCGAAGCTGCTATCTGCAAATACATACCCTCTTGGAAAAGTACATGAAAACATTTCATGTTTCCTTTCATATGTCTCATATATGTGTCTGTATATGTATATGTTTATTATGTATATGTATTATTATATATATATACATATATATGTATTACGCGACACACATTCTCCCCAAGATGTGTAAGTATACCAAGTTTGGTCGCGCTAGGTCAATTAGGGGCCGAGTTATAGAGCGGAAGGGAAATATGATCAAGGTCAAGGTCAAGGTCAAGGTCAAATAAAGGTCGCAGTGACCTGGTCTTGGTACGCTGCGCACATTCACCCCATGATGTGTAAGTAGACCATGTTTGGTCACGCAAGGTCAATTAGAGGTCGAGTTATAGAGCGGAAGGGAAATTCTCTGCGGCGGACCGAGCGGCAGCGGCTGGACAGACATGAAACTATAGTATCCCCACCGACGAAGGATACAATTAGTGTGAATGACACTCCGTCTAGTCTATGTACGCTAATCAAATATCAAATCCATATATTACAATTATAAATGATTATTTAGTGGACAAACTGACGGTAGACAAAATGGGAATGGCGTGGATTTTTAGTGTAGACGAATTGGGAGTAGGCGAAATGGGTGTAGGCCAACTGGGAGTTTTGCTATAGACGAAATGGGAATTTTGCCTTAGGCGAAATGATGAGGTTACACTTGCTCCCAGGTCCACACCTCCACAGTAACAGCAAGTGAGTACGCTGCATTCGTGCGCACGCGCAAACAACTGTAAACAATTTCCGAATTCGCAGATATGCCTACAGAGAAAGATACAGCCGATATTCGGCAGTGTAAACGCAAAAGTTGTGCGACCAACTGATCGATAGCAACTAGTTGGGAGATTAGAACACGTTCTATTTTCGCCAACTCGGAGTTGCCGAATTGGAAGGTTGGTCCAACTCGCCAATTCGCCAACACAAAGTCGGTAGTGTAGACCCCGCTTAAGTTGACGACGTGACAAGACGATTCGCTCGTTATATATAATTATCGCTTCAGAGAGGGGACGGGATTCGCTCGTTAAGGCCTCAGAGTGGAATAGACGATTCGCTCGTTAAGGCTTCACAGAGTGGAATAGACAATTCGCTCGTTAACGAACTAACTCTTCAGAGAGGGGACGCTAACGAATCGCTCATTAACGAACTAACTCTTCAGAGAGGGAAAGCTAACGAATTGCTCGTTAACGCTTCAGAGAGGGGACACTAATGAATCACTCCTTAACGCTTCAAAGAGGGGACGCTAACGAATCGCTCGTTAACGCTTCAGAGAGCGGACGCCATTCGTCGGTGATTCCTCTCATCTGCGTCCGCTGCGTACGCGCGGTGAGGAGAAGGTCTGGATTCCTTCCCGACGGGAAAGTTTTCGTCTCTCCGTGTTTCAACTCGATGAACGACGTAGCGTCGACCAGTTTCTTAGCGCGAGCCGTGTGCAAGTCCTTCACCGGCTGGTCGTACTCCTGAAGGACAAAAAAACACAAAGCAGTCAGGTCAGCGATCGATTCCGTCATCTCACTCAACTCATTTAACTCATTTAACTTAAGTCGTTGTCGTCGTCGTCGTCGTAATTTCAATAATTTACTGCTGTTTTAATAACATAACGTACTCCTGTCGGTGTTGGCGATCAGAATTTATAATCGGATACAAAGCCGGAAAGAAGAAACAGCACAGTAGTAAAGTCACGTAGGATCACACATTGCTATAATTATATACCTCATTGCTCAAATTAAATGGATACATTCATAATCGTATATAAAGCCGTTAAGGAGAGAACAGCATGCTAGTAAACTCACATATAATCACACATTGCTATATATGCACCTTGTTGCTCTAATTAATTGGATAAATTCCTGATCACTTGTAAAGCCATAAAGGATGAAACGGCACCTTATATAAAATCACGTATGATCACACATTGCTATATGTAGGCCCTACCTCGTTGCTCAAATTAAAGGTACCCCAGTGGACTGCGACCGACTGCTTTGCTCTGATATCCATGTGGATCTTTACGGCTTCTTCTGGATTGATGTGCTGGGGACACATGTACCAACTAAAAACAAGATAATAAAGATAATGATATATATAATAAAGTATAATAATAATAACATTGTAATGTGATTAATGACACCACTATACTTAAATTTCTGTTAATCTTAATTTTTCATATATATGGTAACATTTAATGATTATAAATTAAAAATGATGATCATATTGTCGAAATTACACTTACATTAATTTACGTGTGTACACGATTTGACTCAATTGCGACATATTGCCGCATGAGACATTTTTATACTTATACATATACACACAATTATATATTTAGACCTATATATATATGAGACATAGTCATAGTTACACATAATATACATATACATATCTAGACTTAAATATATATGAGACATATTCATACATATACATATACTTATACTTATACAGATACATTATGCTTATACATATACAATACATATTCAGACATATACATGAGACATATGTATATGTCTGTACCCTCCTCCTCCCCTTCTCCATCACCTTCTCCCCTCCTCCTCCTCCTCCTGTCCCCTACTCCTCCTCCATGACCGTCTCCATCTCAGGGGCAGGTACGTTTATGTAAACACAGGGTACATATATGCTTAGAAGATACAGGTCTGGTACACTTGTGTATACATATACGTACCTCGGGTACATATCTGTAGTACCTGATACGACAACGACCCATTCAGCTCTACTGTCTATTAATGCTGGGTGTGCCACGGGGATTCCCCGTCTCACAAACGGCCAAACTGTTTGTGTTTGTTAATTGTTTTGTCAATTGTCAATTGTCAACTGTTTGTCAATTAGGGGCCCGAGTTATAGAGCGGAAGGGAAATATGATCAAGGTCAAGGTCAAGGTCAAATAAAAACCGCAGTGACGTGGTTTTGGTTCTCCGCTCCTCGTCCTCCTCCTCCTCCTCCTCCTGCACCCTACTCCATCACCTTTCCCTCCTCCTTCTCCTCCTCCCCCTACTCCATCACATCGTCCCCTGGAGGAGGAGGAGCGGAGAAGGTGATGGAGATCGAATGAAGACGGTCATGGAGGAGGAGTAGGGGGCAGGAGGAGGAGGAGGAGGAGGAGGAGGGGAGAAGGTGATGGAGTAGAGGGAGGGGGAGGAGGAGGAGGGGGGAGGAAGAGGGGAGAAGGTGATGGAGTAGGGGGAGGAGGAGGAGAAGGGGCGNCTAACGAATCGCTCGTTAACGAACTAACTCTTCAGAGAAGGGAAGCTAACGAATCGCTCGTTAACGCTTCAGAGAGGGGACGCCATTCGTCGGTGATTCCTCTCATCTGCGTCCGCTGCGTGCGCGCGGTGAGGAGAAGGCCTGGATTCCTTCCCGACGCTCCGGACGGGAAAGTTTTCGTCTCTCCGTGTTTCAACTCGATGAACGACGTAGCGTCGGCCAGTTTCTTAGCGCGAGCCGCGTGCAAGTCCTTCACTGGCTGGTCATACGGCTGAGGGACAAAAAACACAAGGCAGTCAGGTCAGCGATCGATTCCGTCATCTCACTCAACTCATTTAACTTAAGTCGCTGTCGTCGTCGTCATAATTTCAATAATTTACTGCTGTTTTAATAACTTAACGTACTCCTGTCGGTGTTGGCGATCAGAATTTATAATCGGATATAAAGCCAGAAAGAAGAAACAGCACAGTAGTAAAATCACGTAGGATCACACATTGCTATAATTATGTACCTCATTGCTCAAATTAAATGGATACATTCATAATCGGATATAAAGCCATTAAGGAGAGAACAGCATGCTAGTAAACTCACATATAATCACACATTGCTATATGTACCTCATTGCTAAAATTAATTGGATAAATTCATAATCAGTTGTAAAGCCATAAAGGATGAAACGGCACCTTATATAAAATCACGTATGATCACACATTGCTATATGTAGGCCCTACCTCATTGCTCAAATTAAAGGTACCCCAGTGGACTGCGACCGACTGGTTTGCTCTGATATCCATGTGGATCTTTACGGCTTCTTCTGGGTTGATGTGCTGGGGACACATGTACCAACTAAAAACAAGATAATAAAGATAATGATATATAATAAAGTATAATAATAATAACATTGTAATGTGATTAATGACACCACTATACTTAAATTTCTGTTAATCTTTATTTTTCATATATATGGTAACATTTAATGATTATAAATTAAAAATGATGATCATATTGTCGAAATTACACTTACATTAATTTACGTGTGTACACGATTTGACTCAATTGCGACATATTGCCGCATGAGACATTTTTATACTTATACATATACACATAATTATATATTTAGACCTATATATATGAGACATATTCATACATATACATATACTTATACTTATACAGATACATTATGCTTATACATATACAATACATATTCAGACATATACATGAGACC